ATGTACTCAGCATTATGAATTGATGGTCTGATGTGACAAATGTATTACATGTTATGTAATATGCTCATGGAACTGCAGCAAGACGAATTATCAGCTGAGATACAAAACAAACATTGATCAAAGGATTAACCGATAACACGCTGATTGATTAATTATTTTTTTCTTGCACAGTGGATTTGTCAAAAGGTAATGTTTATGTATGTAGATTTACTAATCTATACTGATTACACCCTGCCTGTACCCTGTACCTGTGTAAAAACAACATCTTTCCTTCAATGTATTAACCGCCAGTAAGTTGATGGGGATGTTCCTCTTTTGCCAGTCGGGCAAGTTGTTTATTTAAGGCGTAAGAGGATCACCAGACCATGTTAATTAGCAAGACAATGGTACGGGTGGGTGGGGAGTGTGGGGGAGGAGATGACCAAGCCAAGAAAAACACAAGTGGATTTAATGCTCATTATTGGCTAATTAGATTACCTTTTAAAGAATGGCGGACATCATGCAATTAGTTGACCAATGAGATTATACACCAATGTGAAAACTGAATCGATGTATCCCTTTTTCGGGTATTAGACTGTTAAAAGACACTTGGCATGGAACGGGATTCTTTGTCAGCTGCAGATCAATGGCATATTGTTCCTTTATGTGGAGGTAGTGTCCCATTTTTGACAGCGTCTTGGTCACTGATTCGCGAAGTTTCGCTCTCAAACCTGGGATAACTAGCTGCACCAATTAAGGGTAGTTATGTTAATGCAATCACCTGCGAGAAGTACTGAACAAGTAAAATTCTTCAACACTAATACAAACTAATACGAGACGAACTGCCAGCAGGAATGGTACCATTATATGGAGATATCAGTGCCTGAAAACAGCCTCAGTCACTACAATAGCAGATGGGACTGTTGTCAGAAGAGGGGACAAACAGCATACACATCCAGACCAAAGCTCTATTGGCTCCTATATCCAAATTTGAGGCTGTCAAAATCGGGACTTAACCTATGTGGATATTGACGGATACATTCCTCGAACAAGGTAATAACCTGACATTGTTGCAGACTTTAGTCGGTTTTATTTCTAATATTTGTATTTTGTTTTTATTCATTTGTTGTAGCATTCAACAGAATCATTTGTTTTCGCCGTAATGAGACAGACAACATGCACTAGGTCATACCTAGGGTGTGTGTGAAATATGATTCATGTTGGCACTCTATAAAATGTCTAGATATTACAGTCATGTTATAAATACGCTATAAGTGTAATCGTATGCTTTTTATTAAGTTTCAAAATGCATGCCAAATATGGCAATATAATAATTAGGATTATAAGACAAAATATATAGACATACATTGACTTCGTTTTTTTCAGTCCTGACATTTTTTACCACTGGCAGATGATTAAACTTCAAAGTGTTTTCATTTCATTTTCAAAATGATGGAAATATTATCGAGTAAAAAAGATTTTATTTTTGTTGATCAATCTACACCTATACGATCAATTGCGCATGCGGGTTGCGCAGCAAAGGTCACGAACCAATCGAAAGTACTGGGATATCATCCGGGTACTCAGGGGAGAAAAGCAATAACAAAAGCAACAACCAGAGCGCGGAAAGTGCTCTGGATCAGTGCCTTGTTAAATGGATCATGTTTTTACACGGTCGGCTTCAGTGTGCGATGTGTTCACTTCCATCAATCACCAGCTTGTAATAACACGTCACATGAGATTAGCCATGTGCTAAAATAACACCCAAACTTTAAAGCGTACCCCTTGTCAATGTCCTGAGCCTTATAAGAATCGAAAGGTCGGCTTCCTGAGTCGATATCTCAAACTATGGTATGTAAGTGGTAATAATTCCCGAGCATTAGAGAACAGATTGGCTTGTTTGGAATTTTATGCTTTTCATAAACTAGAATATCATAAACTATTTGTCTCAGGAATCATCTGTGATATGAACTTGTGTAGTGGTTTCTCTAGAAATTATTTAACGTTATCTAAAATTAAACATTTAGTCACCTTTTATTGTATATGACCAAATTAATTAGTTACACTATGAAGTGTTTAAGAAGGGATTCACTTGGGTTCTTTTTGCCCCAGTCCGCCTGTGTGTGGACAATATAACCAATTATCTATTATTAAGTTCATGATATTTCGTGAATACACCAACTGCATAACACCGTCTCTGACCACAAACCCAAACGGGTTGCTCTCTATTAGCTCACAGTCTTAAAACAACATTTCATGGTCTGTTGACTGTTGATTTCGCAATGATAAACCACCTAAACGGTCCATCCCTTGTGTCAGGTGTTAATTAGAGGGTACCATTAAAGAATGTATTCTACTACAATAAGCCTATTATTCCCTGGCAAGGGTTCACTTTTATGACATGTAATAAACCCTGGCCAGTCAGTCAGTGGGTCCGGTAAACTTTTATTTAATCAATGATGTAACGTAGGTCTATGTAATTTGTGTTTATGCAAACCGTGACAGGTCAAAAACTATTTGCGCTTTTGTGGATAATAAGTAAACCATACACTTAAAACTGTATTTTGGAAAATGCTAGCCATATCAGGGCAAATATGACAGTTAATGCCAATTTTTGACACCTAGAACAACAAGGATGCAGACGAGAGAAGTTATACCAGGAATAATCTACAACGTCTTATAGTCTCCCTGGTTATAGTTGATCGCATAGGAGGACGAATACAATCCTAGGAGGACGAATACACAGTCTATACACTCACGGGGATCCTTGGGAAAAGGAGAAACTGAAAGAAGTAGTGGTAAAATCCTTCCTAAATTTCCAAAGATTTCCAAGCCTTGGAAATATCATCTTTCCAATTTTGGAAATTTTTGGAAATATCATCTTTCCAAATTGGAAATTTTTGGAAATCACCATTTTTTTTCTTGTGTTGGTCTCTATTGATCAGGGATCGGTGTCGTTTCATATGGATGGCCTCGGTTAATTTTCGTTAGGTGAAGTCTGGTGGGCTGCCTGCCAGTATTGTGTACTCTGTCCAGTTGATTTGATGATTGAGGTTGTTCTGTATATGTTCAGAGATGGCTGATTTCTTGTCCGATTTGTTTGTAGACACTTGGAGTTCTTTAACTCTCGTGTTGATTGGTCTAGACGTTTCACTAATATATGATTGTCAACAGTTGCAGTCTATTTTGTAGATCACACCCTTGGGGTTTAATTTTTCGTTGTTGGTGTGATTGCGCCCGTTGGCTTGCAGCCTTGAACAAACCCTCGATGTGACAAGCCGGGGCAAAATAAAAAGCATGATGAACTTGAATACCTGTGGGGTGGGGATAGCTAGTTAGGGGAGGGGGATTAGTTCAAGAAGTCAGAGAGAGGGAGATTGGATAAATTAGTTGTGGATTAGGTGGTTGTAATCCGGTGGGATGAAATAGCCCTGGCCCCTATTAACTTTTGGGCAGTGTCTTTTTGTGTGTAGTGCTTCTGCCAATTTTCTTGCGTAGTCATGTTGATCGTTTGCTGGTGTTTTGACAGTGTCCCAGTTGATGTTGTGCAGAGGAAGATTGACGATGTGTTCCGAAATGGCTGATTTTGTGTCTGCGTTGTTTGTGGTCTTTAGTGCAAATGTTGAGTGATCTTGGTGTTTCCCCGATGTACAATGCTGCCACAGTCGTAGCAGATGTTGTAGACCACACCTTTTGGCTATTGTTGTGCTGCATATGTCCTACCGTTAGCCCTAATGGTAGTTTTTAAGTGGTGTGGCTATGGTGAAGTAGTGTCGACGCCTGCTTGCTGCTTTAAAAAACAGCTGATGTGATGTGAAGTTTTGCCTATGTATGGTACTGAGCATGCTGATTCGGGCTTCTTAATGGTGGGTTTTGGTGATGGGTTAAAGGTGAGTTTAATGACTCGATAACAAGTTTAGTAGGGTCATTGCTAAGCTGGATGAAAACGTGGTGAATGGGTTGGAGCTCGGGTTTCAGGTGAGGCTGAGGATAGATTGGCAGCACGTTGTTTGAGGGTAGAGAATATGCCAGTTTTAGTCCTGAGAGGGTGGTTAGACTCAAAGTGAATGTATTGGTCAGTGAACATTTCCTTGATGATCTGGTCAACGCGACGCTGGCAACACTATCCAACACTATCAAAACCTCTGCCTATGGTGCGTGCGTGCACGCACGCACACGCACGCACGCACACACTCTCACACACACACACACACACACTGACCAATGTGTAGCTGTGCAAATGATGGCTTTACCTGTAACTGACGTTTTTTAGCGCGAGTGAAATTTCAGTTTGCCTACGTCATTGTTATCATTAATTTATGGTTGCACTCGATGACGAAATCACAGACTCTCAAAACTATCGATACACATAGTACACACAAACACACTGTACTGTTCACTATATCATTATCCACCTGAAGAAGGGGCAAGAACTAGCCCGGTGTTGTGAAAATAACTCAAGAAGTTGTTATCCATAACATTTGTCTTGATGACTAACTGTTTATGCTTTTCCTTGTTTTTTTCCATCTTGACTAACAATTTCATTGTTAGGAGGGACAATATATACTAATACCAAACATTGACCCTGCTTTCATTTATGACTATGGAAATGGCTTTGCCTTTGTTGATTTCCAAGTTGAAACAATATTCAGTCCTGAAGAGGATGTTGTGTGAAACCATTCAATGTCAGTGCAAATACATTGATGGCTGTAACAGAAGTAGTTATAGCACTAAGGACACCTACGTCAAAAGATTAATTCTGTACAACTGTTGGTCTACTTGTATCTCGAGGAGGTAGGCGAGCCTAGTGGTTAAAGCATTTGCTTGTCATGTAAAAGAATCAAGTTTGATTCCCCACATGGCTGCAATGTGTGAAGCCCATTTCTGGTGTCCACCACCATGATATTGGTGGAGTATTGATAAAGGCAGTGTATAACTTAACCACCTCACTCACTCTGGTATCTTTATGTTTATGGTTAATTACACTTCCACATAGAATATATTTCACATGTCTCCACCAGATGCCCCAGTGATCACCTCCGTCCCCAGCAGCAAGGATGTGACAGAGAACACCAGTCCCAACATTGACTGTAGCAGTAACATCACACCAGGCAACCCTTCAACAACAAGCTACAGGTGGACAGGTCCAGGTGGTTACAGCAAGGGTGGGGCTGTACTTGACAGACCTGTCACCAGGACTCAGGTAGGAGTGTACATCTGTACTGCCTCCAACACTGCAGGACTGTCAGACACAGCTCAGGTCAACGTCAATGTGCAGTGTGAGTATATTTTATGCGTGATAATGAGTTATCTTAAAACCCAGACCTCCTGCGAGTAATGATAACACAGCAGACTGCATGCTGAAAACATCTGTGGGTTTTCTACACTTTCCAAACACCTGAATGTTAAAAACACGTCACAATTTGACATCAGATTTGTTCAGCAGTATTCCAGCATTCATGTCTGTAAATCATTGGGTATGGACCAGATAATCCTGTGACTAACGTCATGACCATTGATGCATTGATTGGGAAATGATGAATGCACTCAGCAGTATTTCAGCTATATGACGGCGGTCTGTAAATAATTGAATCTGGATCAGACAATCCAGTGATCAAAAGCTTCAGCATCTATCTACGCAATTGGGATACGATGACATGAGTCAACAGCGAGCCTGACAACCTTATGCAGTTTAATAGCCTCTTATGATAAGCATGGGTTACTGAAGACCAATGCTGACCAAGATCTTCATGGGTCCTGAAAGGAAGTGTCAAAACTATCATGTGACTTACATGTGTGCTGCTGGTCTCCAGTCCTGAAATTATGATGCTTGATGCACCATTAAAGCTTGAATAATATGAGGCATCACATTGTTGAGTCAGGGAGGAGGAGAAGACTATATTGAGACTTGTAATGGATTTAGACAGGGTTATGTGAAAGGTGGTAGAATCTTCTGCCATTGTGTAGAATTTCCTAGCATCTTTTTGTTAGGTACTGTATATTGCCATGTTATGTGCAATCGCTCGTATAGGGCCACACGCACGCACGCACGCACGCACGCACGCACGCACGCACGCACGCACGCACGCACGCACGCAGAGAAAATCCTGAAACCACAACTTCAGCACAACGGTGATACCAAATTGGTGACAGTAAAAATGTTCTGTTCATTAAACTTCTGATGTAAGCTGCGTATTTATAGATATGCAGGGGAAAATATATCTTTTTAAAATTCACTGTTTAGGAAGATTTGAGATAATCCCTTTCCTAATTATTTCTGGCAGTCTTTTTTCACCCTTTCCGCTCGCTGGGCAATTGTAATTGAGGAGATTTTCACTTAAACTGTATTTGCAGAATTTGTATAGCATGAACAAAGAATTCACATATATTGGAAGCTTGCATACCAGATATTTTGGGACAGTTATTTTTTTATAAAATGTTAAGTTTCACCTTCAAACAACATCACTGGCTATCCCTGACTGGTTGACATCACCAGTTTGAAAGAAAATGTGAAATCGTCCACCCTGTGTATAAGAACCCCTCCCAAACCCGACCCCTTTCTCAGCCCCCTCATTTGAGGTACAAAGAGCTCACCTTATATATGGCATATAGCTTGCAATTGCCTCTCATCTCATTTAGCATTTCCACTCAACAGAGGTCCGGCATTGTGTGTGGTGATCATACCCTGCCCAGCCCTTTCTTGCTGCTTGAATTAATGTTGCTTAGAGGTGAATATTACCATCATTGTCTTGATTGTTCTCTTCTCTGCCTTTGGTTTTGTCCTGTCACACTATTTTGTACTGCCAAACTAATACTTAAAGCCGCGTTGACATGCACCCTTTGCACATGGGGGTATTTTAAATTTCGTCATGTAAACTGTATTTACAGGGGGTAAATATTGAGGCAAAATGTGGCCCAGGTGAAGAGGTAGGGCAAATCTGTTTACCCCTGGAGGCTTTTTATACATTTTCACACGTATGTGTGTGTGTGCGTGCGTGTGTGGCGTGCATGCGTGCGTGCGACAAAAGCCTTACACCCCTGTACAGAAAATGGATTAGTTTTGCTTGGAAATCTAGTTTTAGCACTTATGTAACAGGTCGCATCACTACCAAAACTCTTGTCCAAAGAAGAAGTGTTCGCGGGCTAATTCGTGGTGTGGTGCGATGATAGCACGAAGTGCCTTCTCAGTATTTGGGATGATTTGAAAGCACAATCCTAACCAGATAGTCCCTCAGAAACAGACAATGCTGTCTACACAAAAATCAGCAATGATTTACATGATATGAGTTATGAGAGAACCAGATCTCAGTGTAAGGAGAGGATGAAAACTCTCAAAAACTCGTACAGACAATGCCAAGATGCATTGAAGAAAAGTGGACAATCCCGCAGAACGTGTAAATTCTACAAGGAAATGAATGAAATACTGGATATAAGACCAGCCACCTCTCCTGGAAAGGTGATCCAGAGTCTTGAGAAAGAGGCACCAGTATCAGATGCAGAAAACTCTGATGCTGCTGATGATGGTGGGGATCCTGCTACTGAGGATATGGAGGATGTCATACCTCTGCTCGAGGATAAGGATTTGGACACAGATGTCTCAGGAACCGAAAACAAGGATGATAAATCTGTTGCTGAACCACAAACAAAAGAAGAAGCAATAATCGAAACTAAAACAGCAAAGAAGGGAAGACAGAAAAGGCTGCTTTCAAGCACCTTTAGCCAGGGTTTTGATGAATACAAGCAGCCAGTGCCCAACACAAGCACTGCAACTCCATCAGGTGACCGCGGATCAGACTACTCAGGTAGAAATTCCCCCCATCCAAGGCCCCAGAAAAAGCAGTGGTGGTGTTACCCACAACACTGATGTCAGCAGTGACTGACTAACCTGTGACTGACTTGCTCATTGACTGTGATTTTTTAGAAAATGCTAAAAATATAATCTGTTTATGCCAGTTAGATTTTACTTCTGTTTGTCACTAATGCAACTTTACGATTGTTTTCAAATTACACATTGTTCAAGGCTTCAAATGAAGTAATGTTTTGATGAATACTTATTATATCATCCAAAACTGTGTTCCACAGGAGATATCCCTTGTGTGAGATCATATGATATCTCTTAGGAAATATCGTTTTGACAGTAGATTTTGTACAATGCTATGACGTCATCAACTGAATGACGTCACAATGCTATGACACCGCTGTACTGCAAGTCTAATGGTAGTACAGTGTTGTGAGATGTACATTTTTCATTGAAAACTAATGAAGAATGATTTTTGATGATAAATAGAATCTCATCCTCTTGTCTACTGATATCAATTACATCAACACTCGTTGATAAAGGTAAACATATTGTAACTTTATCAACTCGTATTGATATAATTGATATCAGTAGACACTTGGGTGAGATTCTCTATTTAGCTATAAGTTGAATTCTAGTAAACAAGGAATTCTTATGTTTCAAGTTGCGAAGGTCGTCCTTACCTATCCATTGTTTGATGGAATTGGGAACATACTATCTACATAACTGATGGAAGCAGTTTTTTAAAAATAATTTGTGACTGACTTTTTCACCTATTTTAAAGTTTAAGAAAACATAATAACAGTGTTCTGTTTACAGTTTATTTCTTATATTCAATTATGTTTGCAAATCAAAACTCTTGTTCCCAAGTCATGTATTGTTCAAATAAAGTAATGTTTTGATGACAACTTATTTGTTAATTGAATAAACAAGGATAGAGTAATCACTGTCTCAAATGTTCATCAGAAAAGCTTCACTGTGTTTCATTGGCAAACTGTGCAGTCAGTGCTTCTTGATGAGCTGATCCAGTGACTAGATCTGGATGAACGTGTTGTCCACACTCTCCTGCTCCAACATCTACGTCCTGCAGCCAGTCTGGGTTGAACAACTCGTGCTCATTCTCACACATGTTGTGCAAGGCAACTGAAGCTGCAGTAAGTACTGGCACAAACTCCACATCCACATCGATGTACTTAGAGAAACGTCTCCATCGCCCCTTGAAGCGGCCAAATGTGCTTCCAATAGTCACACATGCGTGCACTGCTCAGTCTGTAGTTGAAGTAAGCTTGGCCCTCTGTCTGAGCCCCTCTGTTGCTATATGGTTTCAGTAGCCACGGACACATAAGTACGCAGGGTCTGCGATGATGACAACGGGCGTATCCACTTAATGATCAGCAGGGCCTACACTGTCCATCATCTGTCTGTGGTAATATCTCACCACCATCTGCCAGAGCTCGCAGCTTAGAGTTTGCAACACCCGTGCGTCGTGAACGCCACCTGGCTAGCCTATGCAGACACCAGTGAACCTGTACTTATCATCACAAACAGCTTGCAGGATAATTAAATACAACCCTTTTCTATTCACATAATCAGAGTGGAATTGCTGCGGGGCCACAATTGGAATGTGTGTTGCATCTATAGCACCTCCACAATTTGGAAAGTTCCATTTCGTTTGGAACCCTGAAATAACTCTTTAAGTTCTTCGCCTTCAGGGAACTTGAGAACAGCTGGGAATATGTATGTGTAAATGGCATTACACACCTCATGCACTATGCAGCAGACAGTGGACTTGTGTATTCCAAAAAGATTGGCGATGGTGCGATATTTTCCTGTTGTAGCAAGAACATATACTGCAACTGCGAATTCTGGCGAGCTTGGCGAATTCTGGATTGTTTTTCAACATGTTGTCGAAGTTTTTGACAGAGAAGATTGAACATTGCTTTTGACATCCGGAAGTTCTCTCTCCACCGAGCATCATGTACTGTACTGTCACTTCCCACCAGTGTCGACTTCTTTCTCGTTCCCACACACTTCGCTCTCTGTGTAATGTGGATGTCACACATAAAACATAACTTGAAAAAATCTGTATTTTCTCCTTTTCTTTGACAGCCGCCTGTACCTGTCCATGCTCAGATTGAAATGAAAATGATGAATACCCACCCCTGTCTTAAAACCCATGTAAACACAAATTCTTTTGTCTTTTGCTAATAGGTGCCATGTACACGCAGCTTAGTTCATTTTAGATTACAGGTATGAAATACAGCACATGTCTTTGTTGTTTTGGGGTTTCACAAGTAGTTCTCTTACAAACTGATTCGCAGTTACTGTTTTAGTTTCACCTTGGGAATTAACATGAACACAAACATTAACTTAGTAATTCAGTTCTCAAAATTAGTACCTGTGTGTACCAAAGCATATGCAACTTGTATGCTGTTTACCTTGCACTAAATTTCATGACGTTGAGGTAGTCATAGTAAAACA